GGATGGATTATCTCGGCAAAGGAGAAGTGCTCACTAACACAGATTTAGACAGATTTGTGAACAATATTTGAGAGAAATAGGTATTTTGTGTACATAGAAAAAGTCTTAGATCTTTGATCAGCTCAACAAAAGTTTTGCTCAGGCAAAAACAAAAGTGTTGCGTTTATAATTTTGTTCAGTGTATATGCAAAAAGACAACGCAGCTTTAAAATTCAGCTGTGAACACTTAAAGGAGCCTCATTCATTACTGAGGGTCACATCTGAGCCCAAACTGAGTCCAAATGCTCCCGAGTCCATGATAAGACCAAGACAATGAAAATATGGTCTTGGACTTGGACTCGAGACGAAGTCCCGAATCTGATCTTGAGTGCAACGACACTTCTTGGAATGTCACTTGCAACTGCCATTCCCTGTGTCCTCATTTAGTGTTGCAATGTAGTACTGATTTGTAGTGATTTAGAGAGCCAGAAAAGTTTGGACAACTTATAAATGAGGCTAACTCTGTAGCAGGCACTGTCTTTGTCCTGCAATGTTCGACCGGGCAGTAAGTGACAGCGAGAATGAATAAAGTCACAGCCCACCCTGCCCATTTAAACACAGTCCTGCCAACCCGTCTTCGCTAAGCTCCATCAGCTCACCCCTCTCTCTGTGTTCAGCATCACACTCCAGCAGAAGACTCTATGGCTTCAAATGAGTTAACACACTTACTGGAAAGGAAGTGCTGTGATCCGGGTCCAAAATCTCTATGGGCATCTTGCAACTGTTTCAGACGTTCTTCAATTGACCCCTTTAGTGGAAAAAATAAAGAGTTATACTCCGTCATACCCAGTCATACTCAGGAATCAATTACTTTATATACTAAATCAAAGTTCTCTAATGATGTAATGGAATAGTGCACCCAAAAAACAGAGTGTCATATGGGTTTGTAACAAGTAGCTGACAGAAATTAAATTTTTGTGTCTCTTTAAGTTTTGTTACAAATGGACCAGTGTACCAGTCTGCTGTCCCTATTGGGTTTTTGAAGAAAACAGATGAGAATACAGACTGATGAGCAATGACTGAAATAAACGTTTAGAAAGGTCTGTGTGTAGTAATGAGGAAAGTGGTGAGGCTGTTGCACAAGTTTGCCAAGAGTAATCCACGTCTGTCGTTGTCGCCATCAACCAGATATCTCTGGGTATGGTGGACTAATTCTGAGTTATTGTAATGTAATTCATTCAGAAGATGTCAAAACACTGACATATACAAAGGCCAACAAATCCATTCAAGCAAGAAGCATTTTCTTCCCCTCACTCTTTCTCTCTGTATTCCCTCTGTTTCTGTGAGGCATTTCAAGGACAACCAACACTGCTGTGGCATAATAGAAAGATTATACTGCCCTGTGTAAAAGCAGACATCTCTGTTAATCATTGTAGCTATTGAGCCACTAATTGTCTTGTTAGATAAACATTAGAGCTGTCAATTCAACATGTTCATTTAGCACAATTAACTATAAAACAAAAAACACAATATTGTTCAAAAGTTTGGGGTTCGGTAAGATTTTTTTACATAAATTCACACTTTCATTCCACAAGGACACAATAAATGGATTAAAAGTGACAGTAAAGACATTTACAGTGAGACAGAAATGTCTATTTCAAATAAAGGCTGTTCTTTTGAACTTCATTTTCAAACTGTTTTCAACATCAATAATAAGAACTGAACACTGAAGACTGGAGTAATGGCTGCAGAAAATTCAGCTTCGCCATCACAGGAATAAATTACATATTAAAATATATTCAGATAAAAAAAGTGTATTTTTGATCAGATAAATGCAGTCTTGGTGAGCATCAGATACTTAAAAACTTGAATCTTACAACAGTCCTTGAATGCTTTTATCTGGGGTCTTATTTAAGCATATACAGTTATTTGCAGTTGATTAAGTAGTAAGCTTATCATATAATTAATTTGATTACATTAACTCAAAAGAAATGTGTGATTTGATTGACAGCCCTAACAAACATATATGAGAGCATTAAAACCCAAAGATTCATCAACACAGCATTTCTCATGACATTCATACTACAAAGACAACGAGACATGCTCACACACACTTGTGCTGTTTGTCTTCCATCACATTAGGTCACACACAAACTGCTGCAGATATGCACTTAATAGTAATTTTTTTGATAACTGGATTTACACACTCAAGTGTACTTCTCATTCTTCCTGCATCTCTTTCTGGCTCTCTTAAGCTCATCTCACACATAAAAAAACCAGATGTAATCGAAACACTCAATTTCATTTTACATCTTCTCTTTTTTTCTCGTCATAAAGGCCTTTGTTTTTCCATGAGCATGTAGACAAAAGGCACTCCCCATGACTGATGATAATGGAGCCATCACCGCTCTCAGCCAGGCAGGACCGGCGTATTATATTCCATCTCCTAAGCTAAGATTTTTCATAGTGTATGTGCATTGTTATGTTACATTTATTGAGTGTTACAATGGACTACTTCCACTGAGCCTAGTGACGCACTTCCGTTTTGAAATAATACAGCTCAGTTATTTCCGGTTATGTATATTTTCAATGTGCCGTAATCATCTAGTGACTTAAATGCCTATTAAAACGAGAGTCCACCGGATGATTTCAAAATCCGGACATTTTCAGAGACAGGAGAAGAGATATTCTGATGATTATGTGTGCAGAATTTTCCAAATTCAATGGAACGTGACATTTTAATCCAACATAAGCCGATGTGAGAAAGCAGTGGCTGGTAAACATACGTGATTTTTTCACCACAGGGTGTCAGTGCTCTAAACCAGTAATCGCGACACTGCAGTGTACGTGAGATCTGACGAATAAGATCAGAATTAACCTTTATTTATCTGTATTAAATATGTTTAAAAATACGTGTGTAAATATGTCACTATTTTGTGTCATTTTTCACTCACAATCATTTCACTATATACAATGCCAAAATATGAATATTCAAAGTAGTCGCACTGTCAATGTGTTCCTGTTTAAAATGAACATCATTAAATTTCTTTAAGGCAGTTACCGCACATTCATTCAGCCATTTTAAACATTGGAATAGGAGCACCAATGCACACAAGCAAGAATACTCTTACGAAAATTAGCCATGGTTTTACTACAAATAAAACCAAAAAAATTGCAATTGTAGTTAAACCATAATAAACCACAAATAAACCCGGGTTTTGCTACACTAACCAACGTTTAACCATGGTGTTTAAATTTGGTTATACAAATGGTAAACCGCAAAACAAACAAAAAAAAATGGTTACTACACTTTTACTATCGTAAAACCATGATTATTTTTCATAAGGGTGTTTATCAGTCAAATTCATTTAAAACTGTAAATTCAACAGGTATGAAATAAGATTAGTATATATTTATTATTCAGAATGCATATTTGGAAGATAAATATATTCATAGGAGCATTTCAGCAGGTTGAAGATAATTCATGTTAACGCAGCGAATATGACTAATTGTTTTAAAAAAAAATTGCCAGCCCTAAAACGTAGTAATAATCTGCTTTCTCATGAGAAACGGTCTGTATGTAGGTGCGCTAAACGCTGACCGGAAACTCCCGAGCTGTATTGAGTAGAACGCAGAAGTACTTGTGCAAGTAGTCCATTATGTCTGCTCTAATTTAAAGCAATAAAAAACCCCTGATATTGACAGGCTGGCCATATGGTGGATATTTTAATGTTTAAAGTGATCTTTTATCCATTCACAGCCAACACTTGTCCATTTTCATTTCATCCACCTTGTCCACCACTGCTCACACACACCACACTGGGCATAAGTGCAAGAGAGACCCAATCTGTCGATGGCAGAGAGTGAAACTGCACCAAATGTGTAAGTGTGACATGACTCAGTGTGTGTGACAGAGCGAACTGGTGGCAAGAGAATATTAAAAAAATGCAGAGAGAAATATTTTTGTAAGTGAAATTTGAACTGAAATAGACTAGTTGGGCTTGGAAAACCAAGGCAGCATTTATTTGACCACAAATACAGTAAAAACTAAAATATTGTTACAGTGTTGGGGAAAGTTACTTTGCATTACAATATTAAAAGTATATATTTTATATATTAAAAATATAAATAGTAATCTGATAACGTAACTCACATTGCTTGTAATGCGTTACCCCAACACTGATTGTAAAATATGATTACAATTTAAAATAACTGTTTTCTAGTTTTAATATATTTTAAAATGTAATTTATTCCTGTGATGCAAAGCCGAATTTTCAGCATCATTTACTCCAGTCTTCAGTGTCACATGATCTTTCAGAAATCATTCTAATATGCTGATTTGACATATAAATTCTGTAAAGTAAATGTCTTTACTGGCACTTTTAATCAATGCATCTTTGTTGAATAAAAGTATTCATTTCTTTTAAAAACATTTTAACATTTTATATGATTTAGATTTTGTTGTTGTTGTTGTTTTTAGGAGCAAATAAAAAGAAAAATCCCTGATTTTCAATGAGGTCTCAGAGATTTGAACCTACCATATGTTATGTATGGGGTCCCAGGCAAGAGGTAACTGTAGGAGTAGTAGAAGTCTTGATCTAATGGCCTGTTCATACCCTTGACATGCAGCCAGGAAAATGAATGAAAAACTGTAAAAGTCTGCAAGACCTGCTATGTGATTGCTGATTCTGACAGCAGGGGAAACACTGATAAATGCTCCACCTCCTGTCAGAGCGTAGCACGAACATGTCAGTTCACTGAGTCCTGCTTCAGCCTGAATTAAAAACTCAACATATTGCATCAGTGTACAGCTCTAGGCAGACAAACTAGTTAATTATTGAATTACACAGTTGCACATGTACAGCACTGTGCTGTGCTATTGACAAAATGGCACATTACATCACAAAAACCTGTTTACATTAATAGAGAAACAGAAATATCATTTCCACACATAAGGAAGCCTTTTGGGACCCGGAAAGCAGAACAGAAACTCTGACTCACTGATGCACAAGGTAGTACTGTAAATAGATACCTACACTGTTCCATATCTATAATAACTCTACTTATCTCCACGGGAACAACCATGATCATATCGTCAAATAAAAAGACCTCCTACTGTACAGCTGTAGGAGGCTGAGTCTGTAAATCATCAATGGTAGATTACGAAGAGAAATATTAGGGAGATACACTTCGGAAAAACACGGTAGATTACAGGATAACATATTCAGATGCCTCATCTTTCAGTTCTTTTATTGTTGCGACACTAATCTCTCTGTTTGATCATAGTCAGTGACTGAGTACAGTATCTTAAGTAGGGATGCACCGATATGAAAATTTTGGCCGATACCGATAACAGAAAAAATGAGCCGATATGGGCCGATACCGATATGGTGGCCGATATATTGTGCATCCCTAATCTTAAGGGTAAAACTAATAGCAGTATACAGCTGAGTGAACTGTACTATTATCAGAAAACCATAAAACACCCAGGATGGAAACCGTACAAAGGAGTTCCAGAAAGTAAACGTGGTCAAGATATAAAAATGCCACTGGACGGATAATGACCGCCATTTGCATTTGCTTTCTGGATCTCCCTTGATACTTGATATTTAGACTACAATGAACTGTTAGGATGGCTTAGAGGATAATTGGTATGCACCTGCCCAACTTCCAGGATCTCCAGACTGAAGAAACAAGCAGGTAACGTCATCACGGACCCTTCTCACCTAGGACAGGCAGATGCTACGGATCGCTGTGCACTAGAACATCCAGAACATTCCACAGGCCATTTCCACCTTGAACAGCTAGTATACCCACTACTATGTACCAATTTTTGTAGTTCAGTGTTTTTTTTGTCATCCGGGCATTAGGCAATGGACACTTATTATGCAAATATTTATATTTATACAATTGTGTATACTGTACTTAATGTGCATATGTACACAAGTCTCCTGTTTACCTCATCTAAATGTATATTCTTTTAGATTTAGATTTTAATTCTACTTATTTAATTTTATGTAAGTATGTAAGTACACAGAGCTCCGTGAAACCATAACAAATTCCTTGGGTGTTTTTGCAAACTTTCTGGCGATTAAAGCTCATTCTAATTCATCTGATTCTGAATATAAAATAAATAAATAAAAACATTTCATTAAAATAACTAAAACATTTGATAAAAATTAATAAATAAAAACAAAATAATAACATTCTAAAAATAAAAGTGTAATGTCCCCCCTCCCAACAATCTATTTGACTCATTCACATCATGAGCAAATCACATCACACATTAATAGTACATTTCATTTAAAGTCTGAAAAAAAATCACTTGTTTAAACCCTACAGTTAAATGAAGTGAGAGAAAAAGTAAAAGACCTTCTATGCCATTAAAGAACTGCGCCCTGTGGAGAGACTCATTACAATCTGGCTGAAAATCTTACAATTAGTAATTGAGCAAGCTGTGAGGTCCAGTAACAAATGAAAAAAATATCTAAAGTCTATCAGAATGCCTCGCATAATACATCAACATCTGGCCATAGAAATACATTTATATAAATGTAAATGCACACTGAACCTCTTCATCTTTATCTATTTAAACAGCACATTTAAGAGTAAATAGGATACATGGATCACAAAGTCCCAGCAGCCAGCCATACAAAAGTCGAATTCAAGTCACATTCCAACTTCTTAAACATGCCTACCAATGCAAGATGTAATACTGCAGTATGGGTGTTTTTTAAAGTTTTATTTGCTACTACCAAAATAGATCTAATTCAACGACTAGCTGTAACAACAACAATACTGTTGCAATGATGTCTGTTTGTAAGTGTAGCACTGGTATGTGTGCTGTGATTTAACGTCACATAATGTTGCGTAAACTCTAATGCACCCTGATCCATCCTAGACAACATCTGAAAGTCTGCCTACTCACATCAGTCAACCATTGTGCCTATATTATGTTTAAACTTTGACTGTTCTGTGCAACTTAAAAAAAAAATTGGTACACATACATGCCGGTGACTTTACAGAACTTCCTGTCATGCAGTGACACAGATCATATAAAGCACGACAAGCATGACTAAAATAACCCTGTGAATTCTACTGAAAATGTCACATATGCAGGGAGACTCCGATATATATGGTAGCTGACTTTTTTTTGCTATTTTATGCTATGCGCATGCAGTAACGCACTGAAGTAGTAATTGATGGATATAGTTACCAAATCAGACACCATTCCCTTTCAAATCCAATCACAAAAGCGTAAATAGCTATTTGTCCGCATTAATCAATCTTGTGATCAGGTCACCGAAGACATATTACCTTTGTAGCATCTATGTGATCCTGCAGCGAATCAATAAACAGGTCTCCCACAGGCTCCCAGGCATCCCTCACTCCCTCCGCCTGCTCCAGAGCCACAGCCAGCTCCTCCATGGCAGCCTGGATCTGCAGCAGCCTCTCCAGGGTTCGCTCCATGTGCCGGTGTCGGTCCACGCAGCGCGCCGTCAACTTTTCCCACAGGTCACTGGCCACGTTGGCCTGCTTCCACACGGAGCGACTTACATTCAGTATTCGCCGGCGAGGAGAGACTTCTGTGACGGAGAGGAAGGTAAGAATAGGGAGTAACAGACAGGCTATGAGACAACATTCTGAAAACAACAGCCCTGATCTCTCCATTATTAATTGCTTCATATGACACAGACACACTCATGATGACATGTGGATGCAGAATTGGGTTGATGGCCTACATGTGAGGAGGCAGTTTCTCATCAGGCATTGCAATTTCTATGCACCTGTGCTGAGTTAATGTGGGTTATAATACATGAAGAGCTGTCTGTCAATAGCCGGGCGTCCATGCTCATATTTTTATGCAATTTTGGAATAATTCATTTAAAAACGATGGATGGAAACACCAAGATGCAAATAAACTGTCCAAAATGTGCATTTATTTGCATATAAAATATTGCAAAAAAACTACCAAGTATTTTGTCTTATTTTCCAGTTAAAATATCTAAAAATAAGTTTACTTGAGAGGCAACACTGCAGTTTTAAGTATAAATTAGAGGATTTAAAATAAGACAAAACACATTTAAGATGAATCTATGACAACAAACTTTAATATCGTATGTAGTGTTGCTTATCAAGTTATTTGATTTGTTTTTTAGATATTTTCACAGAAAAAAAACAGCCCTAAAAATGTATTAATGGAAAAAAATAATCAAAACTTATTAAGGGTAGTTTTTTGGCACTGTACTATTACCTCCTAAAACTGTCTGATACGCTCTTACCCAGACATAAACCATCTGCTGCCAATCACCAGCACTTATTAGGAAATTGTTTTTGCAGTATTCTTACTTTTCTGCATGAATTAAACTTCAATGGAAAATTAAACTGAATGGAAACAATGCTAGAGGCAGTTGACTGACTGGTGCAGGATCCCCTTGTTTTTGAGCCAATCACCTTAGCCCTAAATATCATGTGACTAATTATTCACGAGCCAGAGGAACACAATGTCATGATGCCTGGTTAAATGTATCAAAATGGTTCATTAACCATTTTTCATCACTAGGGAACAAACCTTTGCCATCAGGCAACGTCTCCTCAGGCTCCTGGAATGGGTGTTGTGCCAGGAAGGTCTGAGCTGATTCCAACACCGAGTAGATGTAGGGCCCTCTGGATTTGACATCTTCCATGAAAGCCTGCACACAACATCATATGTTTACTAGTGTGTCATGCTGACATGATCAAACATCACAGCACAGGAATAAACATGAAAGCAGCTTCACTGACACACATAAACTAGCTCACAGACACTGTATTGGAGCCCCACAGCATCCATCAACCCCTGAGGTGTCAATCTACTGAACTAAACCCGCTTTTCCAGCTTTACCCGAGTAGATATTGACAGATTAGGACTGTTCACCCAAAAATGGAAATTCTGGCATTCATACCTCATGTTGTTCCAAACCTGTATGGATTTCTTTCTTCTGTCCATACAAATGAAGATATTTTAACTGTTTGTGTCCTACAATGGAAGTCAATGGGGTTCAAAACATTATTGGACCCAACTGAGACATCATCTTCTGTATTCCACAGAAGTCAGAAAATCATACAGGTTTGGAACAACATGAGGTTGAGTAAATAATGCCAGAATTTCCAACTATCCTTTTAAGGCTCTTCTAAATACCCTTGGACCTTTTTTTAAACATCTAGAGACCAATAGAAATCAATTTGGGTTCCTAATGTGGTAAACTATGATGTCTATCATCCGATATACATCACTTGAACTATGATTTATATCAATCATGGAGTAAACTCCCTATTTCTAGGCACCACCTACAGTTTTTCCACTAATCCTTAATAGTTACTAAGGCGACAACTTAATTCATTCATCGTGCCATTTTAAATCTCAGAGGAATACTACCCCCTCTTTTTAAAGTAATTTATTTGAATGATCCAACAGCTCAATCCTCTTATAGCATGAAGAGATTAATATTTATTTTATCTCCCATATTACCCACAGGAAATACCCAGTATTGCATTCTTATGCCACATTGCAACCACATTAAGAGTCACCCCCAGTAACACGTGCCATGTCCTTGAAACCTCTACCCACCTATTTCCAAACTGAGTTAGCAACAAAGAAACTGTAAACTGAAATCAAACGGTCAAAAGTAGAAATGAACTGCCGGGCTGCTGGAATCAAGAGGTCTCCTGAGAGGTCTTTGTGGAAAGCATGCCCTCTTGCCCATGCCTTGCTATTTCATGAAATTGTTTCATTCCACTCGCTGTGAAACTTAATAGCAGCTAAACTTCATACTCGAGAGGTCCGCCTTTGGCTGAGCAAACAAAAATAAAGACTTAAGATCACTCATGTATTAATTATACATTTGTAGAAAAAGCTGAAAGAAATGGTTGTTTCTGTCTAGTGATGTCTCTGTTGTTTCTTCAATTAAGTACTTTTAAGTAATTATGGTATCTACTTAGTGTTCAAAGACTCTATGAATCGATGATAATTTCAGTCTACACTAATATTAGGGCAAACTTCAATATATACACAGTTTTTAAAGCAAACCATATGCCCAATCTATTCAAATCTGACAACAAAACTCAGAAAAAAATAGCACAGGGGAAGACAAAAAGAGTATGATATTAAAATACAGAGGAAGAAATCCACTTATGATCAATAATTTAAATTTCTTAAAATGGCGTAATTCTCTGCAGAGCAGCATATGTGATTTCGCTCTCTGCTTTGTCAGAAAAGGTTTAGGGCGATGTGGCACATTGGGAACGCGAACATTGTACATTGCAGCGGTGAATTGGAGGAAAAGGGAACAGTATGTGACAGATGGAATGATAGCGCAAGGATGGGGGTGCATGCACGTGCATATGTGTATCTACATATTACATAAAGAGCAAAAAGCGAGCAATAAGAGAGAAATAAGTGAGAGCCAAGAAAGGGACAGTGAGATACAGGTCTTAATTTGGAGGCTGATTTCACAGTGTGTCAGTCACAGAAAGAAAGAGCTTGCTATCTCTCTTTCGTTCTCACTCAATCTTTTCTCTCAGTACCCCTCTTTTTCCTGCTTTACTCAGCTGACAGCAGTGAAATTGGTGCTAAGATGGAAGCAGTATCCTACAGGGCCAATTACAAGGTGTGTGTTTATCTGGGAGAGTGAATTTGTGTTTGTGTATTGGAGAAAAAACAAATTTGAATGCAGAACATAATGTGTATACACAGGAGAGTGGTAAATATTTAAGGGGATAGTTCACTTAAAAATGAAAATAAATCTGTCAACATTTACTCATATCTTTCCAAGCCCGTACTAAACAAAATCCTGACATCCACCCCAGCTCTTCTGGGTTCATGTGAGTTCATAAGAGAAGCAGTGATGTGTGATCCGTGTATGAATCATTGCTTTAACTTGCTCATTGTTTCTCCTTAAAAATATATATAACGTTAACTAACTGCATGATCTGTATCTTAGAATTGTACATTTCTGCAATATGAACATTACATTGACACAGTCAATTCTGATAACAGATTACTCTTAATTGTGATGTAGAATCATGGATTTTCTGTAAGGTTGCTTTGAAACGATGTGTATTGTGAAAAGAGCTATAAAAATACACATGAATTTCATTGAGTTAGATCACTTCAATAAATCAGGTAATCCAGATCTAAATGAATCATTCACAAATCTGACTGATTCTCAAGTGACTCACTGACTCAGTGATCTGGTTACAATGATTAGCAGCTCACTGGAGGGAAAGAATGTCAGTAAATAATGTACATTTTGGTATGCTTCTTTACAAAATGTCACAAAAAGTCATAAGAACCCCATCTATGATTCTTTCCTAGTACTTTTATGTCAAGCTTTAATATGTACATTATAGTCTTCAAAATTTCTCCATTTGTCTTCCAGTGTCAAAGAATGTTATACAGGATTGGAACGACTTGAGTAAAAGTCTTTTTTGGGGAACTTTTCCTAAATTGGAGGGAGAAAAAAAGTGTTAACATAAAAGTTGCATCTTAAACAATTTATAGTGCATGCATCAGTTGCTGCCACTATTCTCTGTTCTATTTTTGGTGATCTTGGAAGCTTCTTTGTGGTTTATGAACAGAGGGGGGTTCAGATTTACAATTAACATGTTTCATTCAGGTCTACTTTTGCATCTTGATAATGGATTCAGAGGCTTTTTTATTAGCTTACAGGTGGGTGGACTCGAATCTTTAATGTCATTCTGTCTGAACTCCTGCTGCCATATTGCAGTCTTAAATATTTAATTGATTCTGTTATGTTGATAGATGACAAGATTAACTGTGTTCAGGAGCAAAGTCAGCAAGAGAAAAGATATGTGTGTGTGATATGCATGTGTGTTAGGCCAACCTGGTGGAACTCCCGCTGGTGCTGCACCGCTCCGACATCACCACCTATGGGCAGCTGCTCGGACAGCTCTTCGTCTTTAGCTGTCAGCCATTCAATGATCTCCTGCAGGGACAGCTGGAGCTTCCCACTGTTGTCCGAAAAGGCCTCCAGCCGTACCCTGCCAACACAGCAAACGACAGCCCATCACAGGGCACGGACCCATGGTCAAAACTTAGACAGCACTGAAAAACAGTCCAAATCAAGAGTCTCAGGACATACTGTTACAGAACCTTGTCACCATTTCTGTTTTATTATTTTTGAGGGTTTTGCAATGTTATTCTCTGGTGAACAGGCAAACATAGCTAGACAACAGCATGTTTTCGATGCTCCACAAGACTCCATATATATATTATAAAAGAGCAGTTTCATGTCTACCCTTGTATTGTTTAACTGGACAAGGTTGATATGAGATTTAAAAAGTAATTCTGCTCCCACTGCTCCAGGTGTGTGTTCACGGTGTGTGTGTGTGTTCACTGCTGTGTGTGTGCACTTCGGATGGGATAAATGCAGAGCACTAATTCCGAGTATGGGTCACCATACTTGGCCACATGTCACGTCACTTTAATAAGTAATGCAATACTTTTTAGAGAGAGTAATTAATACAGTAATCTAATTACACTGTTGTAGATGTAATTAGTAACTTACCCAACACTATGTATGTGTGTATTAAATATTCTATATTTAAAAAATTAGTAAATAATATATAACACATTAAAATATTGCTTTGGTTGGTTGGTTCCAACTGAACCATGCTAACCTACTTGCACTTGTACTAACAGGTAAGCCTCAGATTCAACCTGCCTCCATCTCCAACCTAGGCACGTCAAAAGAAGAGTTGTGCATATCGAAGAGTATAACACATCTCCATGATGTCCCAGCATGTAATGGAACAGAAAATAACGTCTCAACCCATTGACCTGCATTTACGTGGAGGAACTCATGGGATGAAATCTTATCTGTTTGCAGGAATCACATTTTCACAAAGCAATAAATATCAAATAAAGCGAGTCATTTAGTCACCTGCCCACATGGACTGGAATTGTTTTAGAGACAGACTAGTTCTGTCAGGTCAGCATCCCACTGTCAGACTTTGTTCCATGTTTTGTGTGTGTTTTGCTGCCCATGTGCCCTCCTTGCCCACATTTGGTTAGTTTCCTGTTCATGTCTACCTGTGCTACGTGAGTTTTCCATGTTTCCTTTATGTTATTAAAAGTCTCTGGATAGATGTACTCCTCGGCTCCCTCCGTTCCTTGTTCCGCACTCCACTCAGTAGTGCAACCATGACACCCACCTGATGCTGCATAGAGGATTAAGAGAGAAGAATCTTGTGTTGCAATAACCCCCAGTGTCCCAGCATGCAGCAGACACTCAAAACTGCATTATTTTTGGCCCAATATATAGCACTCAAGTGCACTAGGGAATGCAGGAAAAAAAATAACTAAGACAAAGGGATTTAAAAAAAAACATTTATGTGTAACATTTTATGTTAGAAAAAAAAATATTTGTCATTGTCATGTCACTGTTTGCACGACTACTGAATCGCCACATGACATTGTAAAAATAACCGATGCATTGAAAAGCTAATGCTAATGCAGCGAGAGCCACATGACGTCATGGGTGAAGTATGATCCATATGGCTCCATGCCATTTAGGCCTGGGTCATTATTATGTTTTTTGGCTCCAGGTGAGCTTTGCATGGGTCTTATTGGACTCCTTTTATGTCATTCTCCCAAATAGGTTATAAGCTGGGTTTCCAGGTGCATATTTTTATGCTAATTTTGGAATAACACATAAAAGTATGTTAAAAAAAATCTTGCTATATGGTAAAAGGATATTGCATAAAACCTGCCTGCATATCAAAAAAGAAATTTGACTGAAAAATTTGCTAAAACAAATTTACATAAGAGTGAGAATTTTGTTCTAGTGAACAAGTGGGATGGAAACAGCTTAATTCGCAACTTGCTTTTGTGAATATTTATTTATTTATTTATTTTTGCAAAATTAGGCTGGATCTCACATGAATGGTTCTCATCCAGGAGAACCAGCAAATTTGGGGCTGCATGATGACTTAAAATTTACATTATTATTATTATTATTATTATTATATTAAATCAAATCTAACTTGAAATGGTATAAAAAAATATAAAATTAAAAAAATTAAAAAAAAGATATAATCATATAAACTTTTTCCTTTAATAACTTTTGTATTTAATAAGAAACTCACAGTTCTTGAATCACAATTGCGGTTTGATAATTCACCTATATCCGCACTCCCAATTTCTGGGATTTATTTAAAAAATTGTGCTAAAAAGGTTGAGAACCATTGCCTCATATGTGCAACTTGTAAGGTCCATTCCTATCTATTGAGCCCTTTGACAAAATCAAAGATTTGGGGATGGTGTAGCCCAAGGATCTGGACCAGTACCCAAAAAGCTGCAGATACAACTCCAACAATCCTGAAATCTGTGCTGTCATCATTGTGCCCTTGAGCAAGACCCCAGGTTGCTCCAGTGGGACTGTCCATGTAATATGGAGCCCCTTTGGATAAAAGTGTCTGTTAAATGACAAAGCAAAAAGACAGTGATTGTTGGCCTCAGTGTACCTTTACTCACAAATTGACCTCGGGTTCACACAGATTGTTTTGAGGGATGACTTGTTTCAACAGGGCTAGTAAAATTTAGCCTCCACTTAGTGATAATTGAAGTGACAGTGTCCACCGGGACATCCAAACACTAATGTGCTTGTTATTTTAATCATTCGCAGATAGAGGCCAATTGTCAGGCAACCATGTGCTCATTAGAACAACACCGGCAGATATAGAAAACTCATGTAAAACAAAGCCATCAAAATAATTAATTTGTAGTCAGTGATTGAAATCACATTCTCAGTAGAAAACATGTTATTATATATGGCATAATTAGAGAACAAGAGGAGGGGTCTGATGAAAAGAGAGAAGCCTGTTTCACCTGTTCGGACCTCTATTGTAGTAAAGGAGGGTGGGCACAGCGCTCTCTATAATGATGTGTTATTAGACTCAATAAAGGCAACCAGGCTGCAGACATTTCATTAGAGAGCCTGTGTGTTCTATAGTTGCCTGAAGGCTCCTTCATCATACAGACACAAACACAAACAAGCACACACTTCCTCCAATTGTACATAAGCACACATATGCACACACACATAAAACACAAAATAACTGAACCCGAGGAAAATGGTGCTCACCCAGCTGCTACTTTCAAAGGGTCACAGCCACAGCAAGCTGTAGATTTTTGTACCATGATTTGTCCGCAGTGAAGTTCAGCCAATGTCTTTTTTTTTTTATTCGGGCTACTTAAATTCATTTTGGGCTACCAGAATCTGAAGAATGTCTGCCCAAAGGGCTACCAGCGATTTTGAAATTTTGCGAGCCCTGTACAGACAGTGAGATGTTCATCAGGTTTTACACAAGCTGTGGAGTTCATGCAGGTCATTCATGCTGCTGTCATTAAAAAACAGAGACAAACCAAATACTCAAATTCCCTCAAATTGTAATAAAATCACCACAATTTGTGATGATTATTATTAAATTAAAAAAGGGAGTGGAAGCAAACAGGTGACAGCTGTGCGTGGTGCTCTGGCAGTCTTGTAATGTGCTTGTTCGATATGAACCATCAGGCATGGGGGCTAGCGTAGGGTATAGTAATCAATACCAGTAGCCAATGAGGAGCTTCTTTTACAATGTTCACACATGGCAGGGACAAAGCAAGCCATTTTTTGAGGATCATTCATGCCTTTTCAGAGCCATCTGTTCTAAATGACTTTTAGATTTATCTATTTAGCAGACATTTTAACCAAAGCGACAATTTGTGATGATTATTATTAAATTAAAAAAGGGAAAAAAAAACAAAGAAAAAAAGAATAGAACCATTATAAAAGCCTGTTTCCACTGAATACAATTTTTTAAACGATAATTGACATAAAAGAAAAAAATTAAGTTTAAAATAAGAAAGTCACACTATATGAAGTCACAACTGTATGGCATAGTCACATAGACATAGACAAAAAGTTTGTGGTCGGTAAGATTTTTTAAAAATGTTTTTAAAGAAGTGTCTTATGATGATCTGAATACAGAAATATTATGACATTATTACAATTTAAAATAACTTTTTATTATATATATATATATATATATATATATATATATATATATTTTCTGTTTAATATTTTTGTGGAAATCGTGATTTTTCTTTTGTGTATTCTCTTATCTCTCGCTATAAAGGTATTCATCAAAAAACAGTATTTATTTGAAACAGTAAGAATATTTGCAATGCTACAAAATATTTCTGTCACTTCTGATCAATGTAATGCATCTTTGCTGAATAAAAGTATTAATTAAAACATAAAATGGTACTGTAAAACCGCAAAAATATATAACGTATAAAATTAAAGGATGCATTTATGAAAAAATAAACATACAATATGAAGCTATAAAGTCGCATTGACAGATATAAAAATCACATTACAAGATGCAAAATCACAACTGCGAAAAAAATTACAAGTCACAATTACAAGAAATAAAGCCACAATTGTGAAATAAAGATGTAATTACCTTAATTTGTTGTTTTACTCTGAAGGGGAAACGGGCTTTTATAGAATTTAAAAGTCTACCAAATAAATACTTGTAGTCGGAGAGACAATGAGACTTGGCACGAACGCACTCATAACTTTTTTTTCAGTTCTTGTTAGATTTGGCCCATCGACACATTTGACTAAATCAGAGCAGTTCCTGCATCCAGCGCTGTGAGTACCTTTATGCTTGCTAGGGTATGATCTGTCCTGTAGTCAAACCCCTGTGCTACTAATTCACTGATCCACAGCAAGACTGCAACACCTCACACCTGTGCCATGTTTGAGCATTGCACAGCATCTCTCTGCCTCGCTCGCCATCACAGATATAGTACATTACATCCAGTAACCCATCCTGCACAACCCACTGGGTTTCTGCAGCCCCACTGAATGCTTAGACTTAGACAATCGATCATCTCATCTCTCTCTGAGGCTTTATGGTAGATCATCAGAAGGCGAATTCATAGATACTAAACAAGCTATATGTAAGGTTATCTGAATGAGTGGTTTATC